CAAATTATTGCCTGAACAGTTCGGATTTCGAAGAAAATTATCGGCGATGAAACATTTCGATTAGCAGTAGCCACAAGTACGTTCGCAATATCTTTGAGCAAAACGTGGGTATTTGTAGCAGTCGGCGCTCTCGCAATATGTGTTCTCATCAGCGCATGGCCCTGAAAGGAATCGTTTTCACTCACAAACAATTTCCGTCGCAGAAATTGGGGATTACTTTGAAAACATCGAGGAATATATTCATTTCTAAATTTTCATAACTTCACGACTGTACTTTACTATAACTGTTCATTGCGACAAGTTGTAGACCACTTATACACAGTTAGTAACGAACATAAAACAATAATTGTGGAAGTAATAATAATAATAATAATAATAATAATAATAATAATAATATTATAATAATAATAATAATAATAATAATAATAACGGAAACAACGACAATGGAAAAAAGAGGACGATAGTGATTCTAAGTAGTGCGCTAAAAACCGAAACACTATTCGAAGGACCCTGCGCAGCTACGCCCACCACCCTCTTGTTTCTGCGTCCGAACCTCGAAATCCGTATAAACTCGGGATACCGCGGCCCGGCCCAACTTTAAATTCAAACTGGAATACGCCAGGCTTGCCGGTGTGATTGTGCATTTTTGCGCCAGGCTTGGAGTACTCAGGTCGTTAACTGCGTGGACGGTTGTCGCTTTACATCTACCTTTTGTAAATCATCGCAAGTTTTGCATAAAATAAATGAACAATTTCCATTTAATGGTCGTCCTTTGAAAATGATCTAGCTATTCAGTGAGCAATTTTCCCGCTAAAACTTTTAAGTGCCCGAACCACGCATTCCTGAGGGTTGAAGTTGAAATATTTGAGTTGTGCTTGAACAGAGAACATTCCCCTAAAATTCCAGCTTTCTGCTTTTCTGGTTCCCGAGTTAGTAATTCTCCCGCCAAAATTTTCACATGCCCCCACGTGAGTACCAAGCGTGCAAGGGGACTGAAATTGAAATATTTAAGTTATACTTGGGCAGGGAATTCACTCCTAAAATTTCAGCCTTTCAGCTCTTCTGGTTGCGGAGTTAGCAATTTTCCCGACAAAATTTTCACATGCCCACACATGAGAACCACACACTCTTATGGGCTGAATTTGAAACCTTCAGCTCACACATACACAGAGAATATCGCTGCAGATTTTCGGCCCTCTATCTTTCCTGGTTCTCGAGATCGCTTTCCCGCCAAAAAAAATTTGCATGCTTTTTTTAAGGCATCTGTCCACGGCAGAAGCGGGTGATGATATTAAAATGGGAAGACCGTACATAATGTAAACAACTCATACTCCCGAAGTTCCAGCCTTCTAACTTTTCTGGTTTTCGAAATGAAAGTTGGTGACAAAAAGTGTGAACACACAGACATGCAGACACACAAGCACACACAGAGTCTCTTATTAACATGCATTTCTGCATTTGCATATATGCAAAATCGCATAAAAACCATGGCTTTTTGGCTCCTCAATGCGCGAGAGTGTGGTGCATTAACATGCCGATGCGGATAAATAGAATTTCTCAAATACCTTGGACTGTTGAATCCAATATGAAAGTTGATTTATCCTGTGGTGGAATGTCCAGAAGAACGCATAACAACATTCTGCTCTGTTGGAAAGCAATCGTAAAAATGTGCGGATGTTCTGCCGTAGGGGCTTTCTTCTCACTCGTTCTGTGATGAACTTTGTCGATTCCCTCGCACTGTGACCTCTCTCCTTCAAAAGCATTGCAAGTTTGTACACTGCTTCGGTGCTTGGTCCTCTTCCTTGACCTACCATATGGTCACTCCATTTATGATCGATGAAAGGTAGAGAATTGCCAGGGTCATTCTGGATGCCTGTGGTGCTGAGGAGTGACCTGTGAAAGACCCACTTTTTATGGTCCGGAAGGCGCACTGCCCAACTCGCGTGCTTCAGTGGGCCAACTATACTCCGGAAGAAGAAATCTGTTTTGCTGCTTATGGAGAACGACTTATCTGGTGATAGTTGGACGATCGATTCTGAAGACGAAAATTGCTACTCTTCTGCTGCTTCAATGGCCAGGGACCTGGGCGACGACACCTTTTTGTTTGGGAGTTCGCTTGACTCCGATTCGGGACAACTCTTCTGTTCTGATGCTTCGATAATCAGCTCCGAACATACTTCAGCAGCCAGTTCTGATAATTCAGACAGCTTTCCACACGATGCTTCGATGGTCAGCCCCAAAAGTACTTCGATGGTCAACTCTGATAATTCGGACAGCTTTCTACACGATGCTTCGATAGTAAGCTCCAAATATACTTCAATGACCAACTTCGAAAAATCGGGCAGCTTTCTAAACGATGCTTCAATAGACAGCTCCGAACGTACTTCGATAACCAACTCTGATAATTCGGACAACTTTCTACGCGATGCTTCGATAATCAGCTCCGAACATTATTCGGTGAGCAGTTCTGATAATTCGAAAGGCTGGAGTGGAAAAAACGATTCCATCTGCCCTACTTCGCTGAACTGTGATCCGGAGAGTGCCCGGTTACTTGGTATTCCGATGAGCCGGGACCTGGACGAACTAGCTCCAGTGAACTCTAAACCACGACTAAATCTCAATTCTGCCAATTCGATGAGCAATTCTAATATTTTGATCAACTTAGACCAAAATTGCGATCCCCTTTTGAGCAATGATCCAGGAAGCCGTCCACTATTTGGCAATTTTGTGAGCGGGAATCCGCATGGCTCAATTCAGCCTGGTATTCCAATCGATTGTGATCAAGAACA